TCAACATTTGATGATATTTTGAACTCTCTTCAATTTACTTAATTCCTATTTTCTCTTTTTTTAATTTTCGTTTCCTTCTTATTTTTTTCAGATCGTAGAAGCCCTAAAGCTCAGGGTTGCTGCAGTCCAGCCTGCATGTGATTATTGGCTGGATCGTTTGGGAATCGATAAAGCAGCAGTGATGTGTCGAAAATAAGCAAGCTAATACATATACATAAGAAGCCAACCTCATTTATTGGGCCTTTCTTCTCCCTAAATTCCTATCGGGTGGGGCAATGAAGAATGAGAACAAGAGCAAGGCTGGCTGAGAAGATTCGCATGTACTGTTTATTCCGATGTGTAGATTCAACGAAACCAGTTTTTTTTTTAAGTCGAAGGACAGTATTTTAAATTTAGAATTGCAGTATAGCACCAATAAAAGATGTATAGTGTATATAAGGTAAACGTATCTCGGAGTACTGCTTATTTTCATGTCTGTTGATGTAGCTTTGTAACCTATGCTGATATAATTGTCAAAAATGAATCACGAAAAAAAGCCTGAAACGTGTGGATAACAGCCAGTTAAAGGCATTTGCAATAAATACTGATAAAGCTTGAACCCAACAATGTCTTTTCTTTGATGTTTCATAATTGGAATCTGGCCAGACAGAGGCGCATATGTAAGACATGAAGGGTAGTGTTATCTTCTCAAAATTCTCTTAGTGGTGGGGTTTTTGGCAATGGTATCTGTCAAAGCTGTGTAGAGAAGAGTCTCAAAAAGGCCACTACCCAGCCCCTTACGCAGGCGTTTTTAGGGGAGCTCGTATTTCATCCCTCCCCACGGGAGCGGGAGGAAATACGAACAAAATACCAGCTACCCTAAAAACGCCCGCGTAAGAGGCTAGCCACTACAAGCATTCATTTCTTTTTTCCCTTCTTGCTTCAATCAGTTTAATAAAATCTTATCAAGATGTTATCCTTTTCGACTCCCAGAAGTGGTCAAAGTCAAAATCTAATAAAAAGGGAACCTGAATTTTATTTACTAAAATACTGAAAAACAAATAGTACCTTGTTAATGATTTGCCAAAGAGGCCATTTTAAATATGATCCACGCCATGATTACGTCCACACACTGAAAGGTTAAAACCACCTTACAAGACTCCAAATTTTTCTCGAATTCAAAAGCTTAAGATCATCTCCCTACAATGATCACTACCTATCGACCTTGTGGACAGTCCATACAATCACTCTTGTTTTAATCTCCCTACAAGGGCCACTCGTCCACAACAGCAACGGCGACTAAATTTTTTCTCCACTGTTGAAATAACCTCTCCGCAAACGGTCGTTGAATAAAAGCGAACAAAATACAAACTGACGTTCTCAATTTACCTAAGTTACTTTGATTTCAAAACAGTTTTGCTCTGAACATTTGGTTTATGATACATTGATAAGTTGGCGCCCGAGTATGGTCCTCCTTGGGCACTAATGTGAACACTCCCTCCCTATATTCAAAGTTCAAACGCCATGAGATCGGAAACGGTTACATGCCCGAGTACGACGTCGAGACTGTATTCAAGAACTATTGTGAGCGCCATTTCAATTTACAAATATTTGCTTCAGGAGCCATGATCAAGTATGGCTCCTGATTTACATATAAATCATAATATAATGTCAATTTGCACAAGGACTCTCCTTCCAATAATTCCACGCGCCTTACGTTCGAGGAGTGAGGCCTGAGGCAGATACTTTCAAAGTCGCTATCTTTTCTTGACGCTAGGTACGAATAACACCTTAGATTCTTTATAATAATTATTTATAATTTTGAAAAATGACAAATAAAGAACTTTTAAAAGAGTAAAATAAAATAACAAAAATTTGGAGTGGACGACAAGCTTAAGTGAACTTGAGAATCCTGTCTTGTTGCAATACGAGAAAAATCCGGATATTGAAACCCTGATTTTGTCAACAGGCTGAAATGTTTCCAGGTCAATCATTTGTCTAAACATCAGCCTGAAGGTTATTGCTTTTCAGTTTTTTAGATGTCAGCATGAAGCGTATTAATGCTTTACCTGGATAACAGTTATGTTTTGTATAGATTTCTGGTTGCCGCTGTACACTTGAGTAATATACGGAACTAAATATTTAAAATTTCTCTTTATTAGTTTTAAACTCAACCTAGCGTCTAGCTTATTGGTTCTTGATTCTTATTAATTCTACAGAGTGGTGAATGTCGGTGGCAAAATTAAATGTCATTTCCGTTTTTCTTGATGCCAGTATGTAGACTAATCAAATAGAAATCTCTAAAAGCAAAACAACACCCGATGCAGTATGCATGCAGGGCCCCTATTAAAATATGATGTCAAAAGGTTCATAAACAGAGAATATTGACATTTCAAATGAATTATGGTTTAAAAGTTCTGCTTGATTAAAAAACTTATTTTAATCTATTGTAAAAAGGTGTGGCCATGGTCTCTTGGCGTAAAAAAAAAGAGAACAGTTTGTGTTTTACAGCCTGGAAACAAAATTTTCGATGGAGAGTAATTTTACCCTTGGCGATGGATGTATTCGACACAGAAAATATTTTGAGGAAAACGCCTTCCGTGCGATGATAATTTCCTTGGTCAACATTCCCCTCTGTGTAATGACTTTACTTGGAAATGCTGCCATTTTGATAACAATCTTTAAGACTCCTTCCTTGAGTACACCAGCTTATATTTTATTGGCAGGCCTTGCCTTTTCCGATTTTACTTTTGGCTTCATTGTACAACCCTTACTTTTGTCGATTGTACTCTCTGCTGGATATAACCATTATTTACCACTAACAACGTTTCGTCTTTTGTGTTCAAGCTTCAACTGTTCGGCCATCGTTTTGTGTGGAGTTTCTCTTGGGAACAGTACAGCAGTTGCGTTGGACCGACTGCTTGCTCTCCGCTTACACTTGAGATACACTGTCATAGTAACTAAGTATCGTGTAATCGTAGTTTTAACATGTATTTGGTTGTTTCAGGGATTTCTGGTGCCAATTTATGTCTGGCAAGTGGGAACCTTTGGCAGATTTATGGCCATAAAAATTTGTGTTGTAATAGTTGTAAACTTCGCCATTTATTTCAATATCCACCTCATTGTGCGACATCATCAGATCCGAATTCAACATCAACAACCTGAACAAAGGGCCGACACTTTTATCATAAGAAGACTTAAGAAGTCAGCCTTCAACACTTTTCTTGTATTTATATTCCTTCTTATTTGTAGCTTGCCTTTCCTTTATGTCTATTTTAATAACGGCGTATCGATTACAGTTCTTTACATCGCAAGAATTATGATCTCTCTTAACGCATCTTTCAATCCCTTTCTATATTCCTGGAGACTTCGTGAAATACGTTCAGCCACAAAACAAATTTTCTGCCGTTCGTAAGTAGAATGTTAATAGCCTGACACCTGGCACCATTCTGTTTTCGGAAAATCACATTCATTTGACGGAGGAATACAGAGCTACCAAGAGCCATAATGGGATTATTGCTCTTGATAGCTATATAAACTCTGGAACAGTTGACCTCTTAAAATAAGGATGGACAAATCTCTTGACCATTCCACAAAACTTATCTTTTAAGAAAGGCTTTTTCTTTTAATAGTTAAGTTTATCAACTACCTATTCACTGTGCATGATGACATACCATGAAAACTGCGTAATATAATTTTTTTAAAATTATTGTTGTTATTATTATTATCATTAATACTGTGAACAAACAGTGAAATTCCGTCCGCGCCAAATTATTTGTTTAGATTGGTTTTCACTAGCCTTATTATTACTATTTTAAGTCGAAAAAATATTTTAAATCACTCATCCTTGACATATTTTATCGGATTTAAATTATTGTTCAATGTATTCTTATCTGTTTAAATTATTCTTAAATGTTTGTGATACATTTATTTATGCTAATTTTATATTTTACTTTCATTTGAGAATTACCTGGATTTTTCGAAACGTCGTGACGTTTTAGCGTCAACTTTTATCACAAAACTATTATCACTATTATTATTAACTAATCTATTTAGAAACGTATTCTTAAAACGTTCCGTATTTATCTTAGGCCTATGGCAGCCTTAGCGTGTCAGGTCATATTTAATAAACTCTTCCAACTCGCAGTGGTTTCGCATAAAGGTTCTATGCCAGATATACACAGAAAACACACAAAAGTAATGGGCAAAATTCTGGTGGCAGGGAAGCGCTTAACTCTAGGGGTAAGGGGACCAGGAGAGAAGCCCTCCTGGGGGTGAGACAAGATCGAGTGGTACCGGGGGTGAGGCCCATATCCTCCAGTCACTAGGAACTAAGGGGAACCAGGAGGGGTGGCCCTCCTGGGTGGAGTACAGATCAGGTAGGACCTGTGCTCCACACCCTGGAGGGGATATTTGTCCGGATCTGTCTCCAAGGGTTAAGTCTTACTGTGGGGCAAAATGCAGCCAGGGGTTGCGCTCCCCTGCCACTACTTTTATTGGAAAGAGAGACAGTAGTTCCACAGTCCAGGACCTAATAAAGGAATACGATCTAGTCCGGTATAATACCATATTATAAATGATTAGTTGTATAGATACATCAAGATGTAGAGGAATAAAATAGCGTTCTGCTTGGTGTACACTCTGGTTGGGCTAAAAAAGGACAGTGTACCGCATAAAGAGGAGCACATGTGCATGATGAGCATGTGATACTAAAACTGGAACCTTTGTGGAGTCTAGAAAATATATCGTGCTAATTTACAGAGGACTTTGACAGAGAAGAAGGATACATTGTAATCGCACAACTAGTTACTGTTCATTGCTTCTTTCTTGTACTTTGGACTAGTATCTACAGTTACTTAGTAAAAAAAGCTTATTCGAATGTTGAACATTGTATGACAAGAGAACAGAGACATGATTGTTGTTAGTAGGTCACTTTGTGTGCTTTCATAGGGCATAATCTCAGGTTTATTAACATCAGTTTATAATACCATTAACTTAAACTTTGAATCAATCTTCTCTTGTGGAAAGCAGACCTTCAAGGGGTGGTTATCACAATGTTTAACTTTTCCTAAAATCGCTTTATCCTGTTTGTGCAGTAGACATCTAATATTTAACGGCACTGATATAAAAGGCAATTTACGGCATGGGTCTAAAAATTGCTGGAAAACACTAAGATCCGTGTCGGAAGCATCATGAAAAGATAACCCGTAAGCTAAGTTAGGGAGTACGATCTGGCTGTAACGCTCTTTTTTGCATACTCTTAGTACGTGTAGACATATGTTGGCCTTGCATTGTTTAGCTTTTGCATGTGCAGGGAAGTTACAGTCATTCTGAAAGGTCAAACCTAATAATTCAAGAGTGGCATGTTAAACAGGATAGGATTTGGAGCTCCATTACTTTTTGATTACAAGTTCTTTACACTTGTTAGGGTTACACTTCTTACAATTACAGTTCGCTCAGGTCAAAAACTCCTCCGCTAACCCACTTGACGTATCGCTGCCCACACTGGTGCGACAATAGTTAAGCCATCTGCATACTTAAAAAGGGCGGGAGTGGAACCAAGAGAGAATGATCTCTTGGTGAACTGACTTGCTTGATTTCAAAGTTATTCAGAAACACGTTGAATCGACAGGGGCCGCTAAATATGACTGAGAATTGCTGTAAAAATCTCAGCATGTTCCTTCTACACCCAGAAGGGAATGTCATCAGGACCAGTGGCCGTTCGTTTGAGATTGCTTAGATTGCTATGGTGTCATGAATTTCCTCTCGAACGTAATAGGCTACTTCCGAGTTCCAAAAACCCTCACTTTCAAAATGAGGCCAAGTGCACAACCTTTCTTTCCATATCAAAGGCTGAGCACTTAACCTCGTTTTGATACAGAGAACCGGAGGAACTGGGAAAAGGCCGATTGGGCGCCTGGTAGTCCTCCAAGAAACATGGGCATCGACGAAGCTCATTGGCCGGTTGGCGTACGTGTGTTCATTCTTAATTGAAGTGAATACCGTCTTAGATGTTATTGTTTGAGTCTCTTAATTTAAATGCATGCCTACCCGCTGATCACTTAGCACTCTTCAAGAGCTCTGTAAAGCTGTATTTAATGTATTTAAGATAATCCAACGCTAGTGTTAAGATACCTTTTAAAGATAAGGTTCTAACAGGTGCGCTTCAGTGTAGTGTAAACGGCTAGTACGAATTGACGCAGGAAACTCTAAAAAGAGAAACGGAAATCAAATACAACAGGACTTTTGTGCCCTGGTCAGGGAGAGAAATATGGATTGCAACACGTTTTTTCTTAATCCTGACTCACTTTTCGGCACCTCAACAAACTATTTCGTAGGAAAAAATAATGATGACGTCAAACTTGAAGGCAACTGATTTGTGCTCGAGTAAGCTTGGGTCAGCGTTCACCTAATATGGACAAAAGTTAGTGGGTAATTTACATTTGTTATTTTTATAATTGAAAGTTATTTTCTAGCTTAACACTGCTACGTGTTGAGGCAAGTTTGCTGTACGCCTTATAAGTTTTTCTCGCAGACATGGGCATACAGTAGTTTTCGCGTCGTAAAGAGACTGCAAAGTCGATCAGTATCAGTTTCACTAGGAGTTAGAATACCCGCAATTCGTCACTACCAGCCAACATCTGTAAGTACCAATTTCATGGCGTATATCCTTCGTTTGCATGTTCTAAATAAGTTTACAGAGCAGAAAAGACAGTTTTGCGTCTAAAATCAGTAGTTGATAGACTTCTATAATTTCTAAAACTTTATGTTGGTACTGAATTCCTGCTAACGAGCCATGTCATTTACAAAGCCGTTTTATCGGTGCAGTCGAATTTTTTTCACGCACAGACAGCATATTGTACAAAAAAAACCACGGAGAGAGAGCTAAGTATTTCGGTCATTGTCGTTATTGCTTTGTTATTTCCTTTGATTTAGTATTACTTTTCAAATGTTAATAAATTCTGTGTTCGATTTCGGTTTGCCCTCTTTGTGATCCGAGAGCTGACGCGAGATATTTGGTTTCGATTTTGTTGTTTAATCAATGTACCGTCGTTATGTTTCTAAAGAAAAATTTCCATCCAGTCTTTCAGTAGCAGAACCCTTGGCAGTTCCATGTCCTGATATCGCATCGGTGGCTTGAATGATCAGTACGTTCATGTACAGTTATAATTACTAAATGAAGTTTGTAAATCTGGTACAATGTGGCTTATTTTCTTTGAGTTAGTGTCAGGTTGTAATTTCATTTCAATTTCCATTTGATTTCAATGCCAGCAGCCAGAATTTAATGTTAAGATTCCCTTTTCTTTTCGCGAGTTATACCAAAGCATACGCTTACAGCTACGTAAAGAAAAATTAAATAGAGTATTTCATTTCTTTGCTCCTCGCAATGAAATATCGGTTGGTATTCCTCTCACTGACATGTCACTGAATCCCTTTTCGTGTTATTTTAGGGACAGGCCAGGCAGTCTTTTTAAATTCCAACTCATGTCTTGGGTATGAGCAAGTATCGCTCTGAGGGTGATTTCATATGTCGTCTCTTGTTTTTCTCGTCACGTTTATTCCGCTCTTGGCCTGTTTTATTGCGATAAAAGAATACGAAGTTTTCTTCTTTACCGTTGACATTAACAACGTTAATAGTGAGCGCTGTTTGGGAAGTTTAACTAGCGATTACTAGTGGTTAAATCATCTGATGTAACCTGATTTCCGGTTGTACGGAAATGATGTCCTATTTAGTGCTTGCATTCTTTTTCCCTGCTTTCGTCTCTCCGCACATGTTTTTAACAGGAGGTAGGGCATTCATTGTCGGTCCTTGAAGTCGATCTTTGCAAACGGTAACTCTTTGAGAAAGATTTCGACAAAAGTTAAACTCGGATATTGGTTATGCACAGCGTTTCATCTTCGCTAAAAACACCTTAAAATACACGTTTTTTTAAGTGCAAGTTTGGGCTTGTATTCAGAAAACATGCACTTGTAATGTACTGGTATGGTTACTAAGCCGACATCGATTATTATTTAGAACAAAATAAAAAGATAACTATCAGGAAACAAAGCAAGGACAGAGGAAAGAAACGAATCAAATATAAAATATTTGCTCCCAGAAAATTCAGATCACTGTTGTAGAATCGGTCCCTTTCAAATATGGCCTTTTCAGAGAGAAGTCGAGAGAGAGAGAGAGAGACATGAGGGTGTGAATGGGGTTAACCGACTAGCGACAAAGGGCGAAAAATATTAATGACTGCCGACAAATCGAGAAAAAAAATTACCGACTACCGACAGGAAAAATATTAACCGACTACCGACGTGGGCTGACATTATCAATATTTGCTTTCAGAAAAAAGAGCATTTTGCATTTTTTTCTGGCCGTTAGGAATTAACCTCTTTAAATTTATGACTCATCAGATGGTCTAACAGAAAGAACTTCCTCTTTTGTTGATACAGGTACATTACTAAAACCAATACCGTAATTACAGAAGCCACACCTTAAAGATGCTACCAACTTTATAAATTTTATTGAAAAGACAAAGGTGAAAAAACTGAACGTTTCTCGTGTCGGTCCGAGAAATGCTTAGATTAATCCTCAAAGAAAACCAAGTTCGCATTTACAATAAAAGCTTTGGTAATTTTGTCAGCACTCATGATATTCATTTGGCAAACAATGGTGAAATAAACGATCATATTGCATAAACAAACAAGAGTGCAATCAAATGATGCATTCTTACAAGTTTTACTCTTTCCTTAGGGACCAAAGTCTTGAAACTGGGTGAAATACATAAAAAAATCTTAATAATTAATAAGCGCTTTTACTTATTAACTGAGATTTTCTGACAACCGACAAAAATCAAAAAGTTTAACCGACTACCGGCAAGTGGACCCCACCATTCAGACTCTCAGACATCATTATCACGAATTGGGCAAATGCCACTCAATGTAGTTTATCCAGGAAATATTTGTCTGATTCAAAGGACAAAATCAGTGATTCAGAGGTCTTTCATTCTGGTCATAACATAAAGGCGTATAAAAGACAGAAAAACTTAGTTACTCTTATAACATAGCTAGAAAATTCGCCTAATCAAATTCAATAGCGCGAGCGTGCTTCATATTCCTATTGAGCACGCTGATGACGTCAATAAACTATTCGTAATTCCTCGAGTTGTTGGGAGCTTAGCAATCCCGAGTCTCCCGAGTGCATCCATAACTCAGCAATAGACAATGAAGCGTTTACCTTGTGTTTTATAAGGAAATTTAGGAGGAAAGGTTTGAATTTGTTAACCGATAGTAAGGAAAAGAGGTGAGTGTTGTTGTTGTTGTTGTCATCTCGGCGAGCTGTGCGGGCTATGGCGTGAGATCATTCTTTGCAAAGTTGTTTTCTCTCAATAACAATTTTTCGGTAAATTAAAAGTTTTCCGGCACCTAAATATGGATTTTGCAATCATTTTAGAGTACACTTTCTCTCAGTTTCAGGATAAAAACATAAGATTAACTGTGAGGAAAACAAATATAGTCACGTAATCATTGACGCGTACTGCTTTGAGCGCGCCCTACAATAATAAAATTTTCAGTTAACTGCTGCATTGATCGCTTTGATAATGTTATAAAACAATTAGTTCATGCTGCAGCTGTGCGTATGTCGAGATATTGAGCACTTGGGAAGTTTGGAGAGCACTCAAAAGGCTAGAGTTGCACTCGGCTGCGCCTCGTGCAACTCTTACGCCTCTTTCGTGCTCTCCAAACTTCCCGCGTGCTCATACGCACGCTGCCGCATGAACTAATTGTTAATTAGTCCTTTGTTTTGCAGTGCGCAACTCTACTGCGCATCATCTTTTCAAAGTGACAGTAGCCGCTACACGCTGTTTCCGAAGTTTAAAAGAGCTTTTGCAAACGAAGTGATTTAGAAACACGCTGTATGGGGAACTTTTAACCTAGGCGATAAATCAGGAAGTGCCATTATGCAGAAATATATCCCTAAAATAACTACAAAAACAAGACAAGGGCACTAGCAAAAGTATAAGATGATTTTTTGAAACGATAATTAATCTAGTCTAGCGATAGCCCACACAGTCATTTTGTAAAGTGACATTAATTAAAAAGGCTTAACGCAAGCTTTGCCAGCTTTCGTTCTGAGGGTCATTTGCAATTGACACTTTTGTTCTACTGATGTCGAGTTTGAAAAAAGCGGATATAACATGCTACATCAGAAGCATTATATACTTCTGGCTACATGCATTAAAAAGTTCGTATTTCAGGGCACTGTCCAATTTATTTGAGAAAGATTTCGATAAATAACTCGACCTTACAGATTGATTTTGTGCACTGGCGTAGATCCATTCAA